TTGAAGTGTCGGTGGAGGGGGGGGGGGGTTTTGGGGGGGGGGGGGGGGGGGGGGCAAAATTTGAAGATAGAAGAGTGTTGTTTCTGTTCTGTCCTCTTAGCACTTAAGACTTCTTAAAAGTAATGCTTTGAATGACGCTAAGTTCTTTTGATGAAGTAAGTACACCTACTTCGAGTTTTACGCTGTATGAATCATGTTCTCTATTGATATAAATATTCAGATCTTGTCTAATTGTTATCATAACCAATTTTACTTTCTTCTGCAGAATCCTAAAATTCTTCTGCTAGATGAAGCAACAAGGTAAGAAAGAAAATAAATAGAAACTTAGAAATTATCTATCTGTAAAACTCAGCTATGAGCGGTTTTCATTCTTTCTCTGCATGGCCTGCATGCAGAAATTATCTAGCCCCTTATTGTTCTTCACCCACAGTTGGTTAGGAGACCTGTGATGATAACTGTTTATGCAAAGTGGACAGGATAGCTGGTACACTGTATTGTAACTTTTCATGGAGTGAAATTTGTAATATGTAACTTGATTTTGAAACATCTACTTAAAGCTTTTTTTTCTATTCTTAGTTTAAATGAAGATCTTAGTCTTAAAGAGAGATGATTATACTGCAGTATAAATTAATTTTTTCACTGAATTAATTTAGTGTTATTTCTCCATGCATATTTTTGCCTATGAGTGTATGTAATGCCTGTAACTCGGATGTGTGCACTAAGCATATTCACGAAACTTTCCTGCAGTGCCATTGGTTCCTCTTCACCAACAATAGCAAGGGTTTGCAGTTTTAGCAAAATAAGCCTAATGCATACAAAACTAACTTGTCTTAAAATAACAAATATCCTCCTCTCTCTCCTCCCTGCTTTCCCTTTCTTACTAGTGCTTTGGATGCTGAAAATGAGTATCTAGTGCAAGAAGCTCTGGACCGGCTGATGGAAGGAAGGACAGTCCTAATTATTGCTCATCGTCTCTCTACTATTCAGAATGCTGATTTTGTTGCAGTCCTTGGCCAGGGTAGAATTCTTGAATGTGGAAAACATGAGGAACTACTTGCAAATCCAAATGGACTTTTCAGGAAACTAATGCAGAAACAAGCTTTTCTTCAGAATAGTGATACTTTTGCATTAGATTTACAATCCAGAGAAAAGGATGTATTAAAAGAAAATGTATGAGAGAGTGTATCAATAATGGAAGTTTACAAACTACAAAGAATATAACTAATGTTTCTGTTATGTAAAGTAAATGTTATATTTTTCCAAAATGTACAAAATATTCTTTTGAAACTTAAATGTGTTTAAACTTTTTATTGAAAGCTTTTTAATAATTATTGCAACTTTTTAAAATGTCTATCGCAGTGAGGTAATTTCAGCGTATAGATTTTTCTGCTTTGTGTTATGTTAATTGAGACCATTTAGAATCTTGTTCTGTATGGTGATGTGCTGCATTCTCAAGTAAGTTCAGTATTTTAAGGGTAATTAAATGACAATCTTATAATTTTCATATCATTGTCTCTTCCCTTTTCAAGGAACTTTTGCTTTCTGTGCTTGTCAGTAGTCTTAAAATGCTGGAATTCAAAAATGCGTGACACTAATGTACTCTGAAAGTTCTGTCTGACTTCCACTGCACTGTCCTTTGAGTTACCATTTGTTCTGAAATGTGAAAGTTAATTATGATCACCATCTACAGTTACTGTAGAGAATTACATATGAGAACACATTTTAGAGAGTATGAAGCATGAGTTGGAGGAAAGTTCTTTAAAAAAACAAACAAACAAAAAATCTAACAATAAAAGCAACCAAACAAAAAACTTAACTGACTTCATGTAAAGACAAAGGAAGCATATTAGTATATTAAGTCAGCATAGGAAAATTTAAAATTTGCATACATTTTCTTCCTTTTTCTTTTTTCCCTGTTTTTTAGTTTCACTTCCCTTCTAAGATGACGTCCAAAAGAACACGCTTTTATAAATCTAAGGTTTTGTCCTTTTTTAAGGCATAGGTAAGTGTTATTTTTATTTAAAATTTCATTCGTAGAAATCCCAGGTTTTGCCTAACTACCTTATTGGGGACAACTGCCTTCTCCAGGACAAGTAGTAAAATAATAGCATTACATTAATTTGAATAATTGCAGGAGGGTACATTTGGCAGTAAAGAGTAGGCTTCATGTTTCTAATTTAAGAATCTCTTCCAATAGAATCTCTCTTGACTTTCTGAAGACGCAAAGCCCCGCAAGATAATTTAAAAAAAGCTAGAAACTTTCCAGGTCACATTAAAACTCATCCATGCTAGGAAAACTTGTTGCTGGAAAACTTTATTGGCAATAGGTGAGATACCTAGTGCTGGGCAAGCTTGAAATGTTTATCTAATGTGCCATTACTGGCACTTTGTGGAACACAGTGAAAACGCTAGAGAGATCCCTATGCTCAGGAATGAAAATAAAATTACATCCAGATGTAATTTTATCTTCTGATATAGTTTTACTAGAAGCAGATATTTTATTAAAGATATGCCAAAAATACCAACCGCTGACCCAATGTTTAATTTCAGTGTTGACTACCAATTACTCTCTTTATAATGTATTTAGAGGGGCTTGAACTTCAGTCTTTATTCATGTAATCTCTCCTTATGCGTGATGCAACGAGCCCCTTTCTTCATGTATTTACACAGGTTACAGGAATTACTTGCAGCTGAATTGAATGAATGTTTTATGTCTTTTGTTCATTAGTTGTTCCGGCAGGCGTTGCAGTCTACAGAAGAGCGTGAAAAAGTTATAGAAAAGCTTTAGTCCACAGAAAGGTGAATGTCTGTCAGAACAGGTCCACTGGATAACAGACTTTAGTCACGTTCGAACCACTCAAAATACTCCTTGGAACAAACCACAGACCTCAGCAACGTGAGAAAACAAAAGTTTCTTCGTAATCTACAAGTAGAAAGCTTTGCTGGACAACTTCAGGTTTGTGGTTTAAACACCTACAATGTGTGTGATGTGTGCACATGGCATGCTGTATGCTTCCACAGCAGCGCTAGTCAACACTGGATATGTTTGCATTTTGAACTGTAGGAGCCCTAGTAGCTTAATGAGGAAAAAGGTGTGAGAAAGAGAAAAATTAAAAGTATTGCATTCTTTTCGTTACAAGAGTTGAAGACCTTCTGGTCTAAGGCGGAAACTGTTGGTGTATCTCTAACAATCTGATAGGTGTCTTCTGCTAAGGACCACCGTTCCATGCTGCTGCCTTGTGTAGCGTGGTCCGTAGGGCAAAAAGGGGCCACGCAGTGTACAACAGACTTAGCATCAGAGTATCTGACTGTGCATCGGAAAGAAGTATAAACCAAACTTTCTTACACTCCCTCACTGTATTTTCCATCATTGCCCCCTTCAGGTTTTAGTAATGCTGTATACCTGCTATTTGTTTTGTTTAAGCTGCTGTTAGTAGGAAGAGGTTCAGTTCCATGAGGGATGGCATTAACAGCTCAAAACACAGCTGTGCTACTTCTAGTGTATTCCAAAGGCCAAAAGGTACTCAGAAATGCTTTTGATCACAGGTAAATACAATTGAAGTCAAATTAAACTTGCCCAACATTTCCTGAAGGAAAGGCCAGACCTTATTCAGAGTTGGTAGAGGTTTCAAATTGTCCGTGGAGCCCTGGTGCAGCACCTTATATAAAGACCATCTCTCTTTCATGCTGCACACACTAGTGTTCAACTTTGGCCTGAACATATCTTCTCTGTGTAGAAAAGTAGCAAAGGTGATTTTCCAGGCATTCAAAAATAAATGTAGTTAATTTTACATGCACCCACGTATATCAAATATGTAATAGAAACATTTTTCAGCTTCTACCACTAGTTGCCATATTTTAGTTGATACCTATGGGCATCATTTTGAAGTCTTCTATTAATACTGCCTTTTTCACCCTTGCCTCAGAGGCCAGAACTATTTCCTTCCCTTAACTTTTGCTACTCAGTCATGACTTTTGGGCCGTAAATACTGTAGCTAATTGCTTTCAAAACTACCTTGCTAAATTGAATGCATTAGTTAGGGCTGAGTATTTGGAGACTTAATGAATGGTCAGCTCTCAATGTATGCTTAATCCCTTTACTGGGTTGCTAATTAGTTTTCTGATTCTTGACAGCATGAATGTTCTCCTGAGAGAAATAAGACACTGAAAATAAAGTGTCTTGAGTAACTTTATTGCTTAAACTACTTATTTAACTCTTTAATGCTTAAATAGAGTACTGATCACAACATCATCACTGCAGCGAATGACTGGCATCTCTGAAAAAGCTAAAATTCTTTCAACTCAGGTTTCAAGTAGTCAATGCAACTTTTTGCTTTAATCTTCTGATACAGAGAGCCTCTTTTCTGTCAATACTTTAATCTTTGAAAAGGGAGTGGATTCCAGTTAGGGGAGTAACAGAAGAGAATATCCTGCCTTTGTGATCTCCGCCAATTCTGTCTTTGCGTTTCCACTGCTTGACATTTTCAGCTGTCTTGAATGCGGAGAATTGTTCCCAGTTGCGTAAGGGGTCTTAAACTCATGATGCAATGATCCAATAGATGAATACTCTGAACTGTTAGGCAACTCTGTCTTCTGATGAGCAAGACATTACATATCTTATGAAGAAGAAAATGATACTGATCTTTTATACACGTCTTTTTAAACATCTGCATAGTCCCATAAGGCATATTCAGCTAACCAATTCATGAGAACTTTTGTCTGCTCTGCAGATGATGGAGTTTGCTGCTATCCTTTCAAATTAATTTGCTTTCTAAATAGGTAGGCAGCTATTTGTGGCTAGTCAACCCAAGCAGTATTTTCTACACTGTTTTCCAATCCATCGATCAATAAATAAAAAGCAAATAAAAAGATTATCAGTCCCACATATTTTGAAGTTGTGGCTCTAATATAAGTCCACTATTTCCATTCTCTCAGTTTAAGTCCCCACTAGGGGACTAGGGATTTGTCCAAATTGCCTGCTGGACATTCACCTTTTCATGTGAAAACCAAATACCACACGAGTCCCCGTTCCAGAACTGGTTAAGTCTCTAACCGATATCAGTATAAACTATTTGTGTGTCGAAAATCAGATTTAAAGGTCGAGTTGTATCCTCTCTCCTGAAGATGGAGCTCTTCACACGGGGCCGGCACAGCAGAAGGCAGCCGAGTCATTCCCTGAGGAAGGGTAGCAAAGTGTATGTGGGATTCAGTCAGCAAAAAACGACTGCTCACACTGCATCATCTTAAATATTGTAGAAACGAGATGTGAAGGGGAGCTTTCAGTTTTTAAAATAATTTGAATTTGTGGATGTTGGGAAATGTGGATGGCAGCTTGAATTTTGCTCAGTTTTTCCCCATTTGCTTCCTTGAGTGTGCAATTTCTGGTTTGGTTTGGTTTGTTTGTTTGTTTTTCTTGATGAAACAACAGTAACATGATGATTTAGCATCACTACATGGAGTATAATAGAGAAGGCTATATAGGATACTACATTACTATAACAGTATAGTGAAGCTCTGCTAAATGTTCATATTTAGCTTCATAAAATCAAAGCAAAAGGAGACAGGGTGAAGTTAAAATGCAAAGCACTGAAACAGACAGGTGCCTCGTACTTCAGTACTGCCAGATGAAGCATCTCACGCTTATCTATCTCCTCTGCATTTCAGGCTCAGTCATATTGGACCACAGTCCACACAGAAAGCTTAACAGCCAAAACTCTTTTTAGTCAAAGAACATATTTTTGGAAAATGACGAGAAATTTCTGAGTAGTCTATTTTTAGTTAATTTTATCTTAACTAATTAGCTTCATTGATAACATACAACTCAACTTCTTCCCCAAGTAGATAGTACATACGTACCTTCTGAAAGCTTCTTCATGCAAACCAATGCAGTCGAGTATTTTCTTTCAGTGAGAAAATCAGTTTCCCTTTAAGACTAGAGTCTAATTCTGTACCATTGAACAGTCGTAGTGCATGATTGTTATTTACCATAGATGTGAAAGGTACAAAGGTGTGCCTAGAATATGTTTCCTATGTGTGGGTTTTTTTTTTTAATTAGAAATTTGGTGACAAACACAGGTTACAGCATAGGCTATTTTAAAGATTAGGCAACTCTGTTTAGCAGAAAACACGTCCTTCCAAAAGCGCCAAACGACGGTTTGCAATGGTCTTCCCACAGCAGTTCTTTGAGCACATCCAGCCACCTTTCTCTGCTCGAGCTGGTCAGCGCCAGAACCGCATGAATTCGGTGAAAAGCGGTTCCCAGGTGCAGCCCTGCCAGTCCCTCCGGAGCATCCTGAAGGGCCGAGCGTACCCGGCCGCCTTCAGGCACATCCGAGCGAGGGGACCCGCGTTTTCGTGAGGCCGCCCGGCACAGCCGGCTGCCTGAGCCGCCGGGTGAGGAGAGCGGCCGCTCAGGCCCCTGTGGTGCGGAGGGGGCACGGTAACACAGCCTCCCCCAGGCGGCGGCGTGCCTGCGGGCC